TCAAGAGGATCATAATGCCGTCGAAAGAGCCATATATTACCTTAGTCAAATCTTAATAGATGCAAAGACTAGGTATAACCCGATTGAAAAATTATGTTTGTGCCTATACTTTTCATGCACAAAATTGAAGCATTATATAAAGCCGGTGGAAGTTTATGTTTACTCTCATTTCAATGTAATTAAACATATGTTTTCAAAGCCTATATTTCATAGTCAAATAGGAAAGTGGGCCTTGGCGCTTACCGAATATTCACTGACTTATTGTCATTAGAAAGCAATAAAAGAACAAATTGTCATAGACTTTATTACTGACCATTCAGTGGTCGAAACAATGGAAGCATACGTAGGAACTAAGCCTTATAGGTCATACTTCGAAGGATCCAAACATAAAGATGGAACCAGAGTAAGAATCTTTAACATTTCGCTAGAAAGCATACCAATCAAGTTTAAATATAGGTTCAAAGAGTCATGTTCCAACAATGAGGTTGAATATGAAGCCTTGATAACATGCATGCAGATTTTGTTGGACTTGGGGGAAAGAGACGTCAAAATAAAGGGAGATTTGGAGTTGGTGGTTCAATAATTGAAGAAAGAGTATAAGTGCATCAAAGAGAACTTGATGTTATACTTTGTCATAGGTAACTCTTTGTTGAAACGTTTTGATCATGTTTCGATCGACCGCATTCCTTGACTGGAAAATCAAGAGGCTAATGACTTGGCTCAGATAGCCTCAGGATATAAAATCTCTAAAGAGAGGTTGGGAGATTTAGTCGAGATAAGGGAAAAACTAGTCTCGAAAGAGAACCTTCAAGAGACACCATCAGTGTCAAAACTTGGGGGGATGGGGGGTAGATGAATTCAAGGATTCACCAAACTTAGAAAATTCCGAGTTTGATAAATTTTTGAACTATGAAGTTTTGGCCATTAACTTAATGTTAGATAATGATTGGAAAAACCTATAATCGGATATTTAGGATATCCAACAAGAGTAACTGATCGAAAAGTCAAGTACAGAGCCTTGAGCTACGTAGTCACGAGCAACAAATTATTGAAGAAAACTCCTGAAGGGTTTCTCCTCAAATGCCTTGGTGAAAGCGAGACATATTTGGTGGTCTCTGAGGTGCATAGGTGATCATGTGGCTCCTACCAAGTTGGTCACAAGATGAAATGGTTGTTATTTTGACTAAGGTCTATTGGCCAACTATGTTGAAAGATTGCATATATTTCTCCAAAGGTTACCAAGAATGCCATAAACATTTAGGTATTCAACATATCTCGGTATGTGAGTTACACTTAATAGTTAAGCCATGGCCTTTCATAGGTTGGGCTTTATACATAATTGGTGAAATCAAACCCTCTTTGTCAAAAAGGCATAGATGCAGTTTGGTGGAAATAAATTATTTCACTAAGTGGATAGAAGCCATGCCCTTGCCTAATATTGACCAAGAGCAAGTAATAAGTTTCATCCAGAATCATATTATATGTAGATTTGGGATACCCGAAACTATTGCCACAGACTAAGGCTTAGTTTTTACACGGTACAAAATGGTGGAGTTTTCCTCAAAAATAGGTTTGAAGTTGTTGACCTCAACATCATATTATGCCCAAACTAATGGTCAGGTTGAAGCGGCAAACAAGATTATAATTGGTTTAATAAAAAAGCATGTGGGTCAAAAGCCAAAGAATTGGCATAAAACCCTAAACAAAGTTCTATGGGCATGTCAAAATTCTCCTAAAGAATCGACTAACTCTACAAAATTCCAACTTGTTTATGGACACGATGCAATGCCGCCTTTAGAAATTTTTCTGCAATCAGTTAGGATTTTAAGGAAAGCTGAAATCTCCACTGAGTTTTATTAGGGTATGATGTTCAACGAGTTGGTTGAATTGGACAAAGAGAGATTAACCTCTCTAGGTATCTTGATGAGACAAAAGGAGAGAGTTGCTAAAGCTTACAATAAAAAAGTTAAGTCCAAAACATTCAATTTGGGTGAGTTAGTTTGGAAAGTCATATTTCCCATGGATCGAAAAGATATAGTTTTGGGAAATGGTCCCTAAATTAGGATGGGCCATTTAAGATTCTGCAAGCTTATTCAAACAATGAATATGGAATCGAAGAATTGACCTTTGAAGGTCGAACCCTTCAAATAAACGACAAGTATTTAAAATAATATAGGCCTATTTTGCAGAAAGTACATATTAACGCAAAACAAAAAAATAAATTCAAAATTAAGAAGACTAAAAAATTAATAACCTTAACATTGTCAAATGGCATGAAAGGCATACTTAAAGATTACATTATCCAATATATTGCCATAATGCAAGGAACACAATGTGTTCTTTAGTGGTGCTAGTAACATGGTAGTCTTCGATGTACCTACTAAAGCCGACACAATTGTTGTCGAAATCAACATTGTCCCCGTCTCTCTTATTGGGGTCGAAGTTATTACCAGTAGGGAGAAGGCCGATAATGGATGCCATGTCGAAGAGCGTGGGTGTCAACATTCCACAGGAAAGTTGAAAGGTGTTGGTGGTACTTTCCCAATAGCAAAGGGACGCAACCAACATGTTTTGGCAGTATGCCAAACTGGTTCTCGATAATTGGATCAAGTTGAAGATACCTATCTCTTTCCATATTTCACCAATTTTGGCTTATATTTTATCTAGTCAAGAGATGTAATCATCATGTTTTTTAGTTGGAGGAGCTGAGCGAAAGACTCTCAGAGTGGTGGTCATGTATTCTAGATTCATTGGTCCTTTAATGCTAACTAGGGGTTTTATCTTGTGATAAGCATGGAAGAAATCTCCAAGCTTAGTAAGGTCTTGAAAAGGGTCATGCATAAGACTCATAAGAGCATGGTTCATTTCATAAATGGTGTAAGGAATAAGTACATGAGATATATAAATATGTAGCTTTTCCTCGTTATTTGGAGGCTCTGAAACATACTCCCAATTTCCAACCACGATGGCACAAGTAAGCATGTTGGCCATGGGGAGTGGATCTTTGGACGCTTTAGTGTTCTTTGTTGAAAGAGCCATTGTTCGAAGTTTGGGAAGTTCTGATAGGCTTTGGAAGAAGAAATTTTTTCTAAGTATAAGAGCTGAAGAAGATAGAGGAAAGAGTTAAAAAATGAAGGAAGCAGGTGGCACGTGTCGTCCCCTTAGAGGAAGGATTGAAACGACCTGCTACACGTAGCCATGCCACCCTACGGAAACGGAGCCATGATGAGTAAAGTCATGGGATAGTGGGCAACACACGTTTTCAAGGTGACGATTGAAAGAAACGTCATGATGGTCGTGACGTCAACCCACTAGGTGAATAGTGTCTGAGAAGATAAAAAATGCCCTTATCTCTTAGGTTTGTTGAAAGATGCCTTTTTGGGGAGCAATTTGTTAGTTGGGCTTTCGACAAGAAATCTTAGTAAAGGGCAAAGCTAAAGGTACACCGATGACATGTACTTAAGGTGAGTCTCAGGTCAAAGAGATTTGGGACGTAGTATTTTTTGGAAATATTGTAGGAACATTTCGACCGCGTGGAGTTTCAACAACATCAAGTGCATCGAAGAAGCGGTTATTTGGGCACACAGATGTTACATTCAAATATAAATAACTACATGGGGATTCCATTACAAAGGACACATATAGAGAGTGTAGAGGCGAACTACATGCAATACTTCACGTGACGAACACTCAAATGTTCTAAACAATTATTTTCGTACTAGTATATATATAGTAATTCATTTGTAGAATTTAGTTTGTTCATTTCACTACAAAAATCTCACTTAATACTCGAAGTACCAGTGTCAAGAGAAAAGAGTCATTGCTGAGATAATGTATGAACATTGAAATAACACCTTTTATTTTCAATGCAAAGTCTTTAAAATTCACTTTACATTGCCTTACTAATTTATTTTTGGTTTCGTTCAATTACATTACTTTTGCACTTTCAATTTTGCTATCTTCTTTACACTTTTCATCATTGCCTAAATCTACATTTTCTACGCTCTTTTAGCCATTATTGCGACCAAGACGAAATTAAGTTCTACCAAAGGAAAACTATACAACAAGGTTTTAGCACTATGTTTTATGATTCACTAGTTGATCCTGCAAGTAACCTTTATCTAAATAGACTAGCGCTTGTTTACCAATTTTCAGTGTAAACAAGGGGTCAACAAGACTAAGGCCATAAGAGCTAGATTTGCAGCTAGAGGCATGATTGGTGTTTTTTTTCCTAGGGGATTATACTAGGATTTATGACTATTGCTATGAGTTATTAAGATCAAACCCAGGGTCAACAATAAAACTAAATGTTCAACCTTTTTAAGAAGGTATTAATGATTAAAGACCCCATTTCAGAAGGCTATACATATGCTATGCAACTTCTAATGAGAGCTTTAAGTTATGTAGACATTTCATAGGCCTCTATGGCTTTTTTAAAGGTATTTGTGAAGGTCAAATCATGGTAGTCATATGTAGAGATCCCAATGATTAAATGCTACTAATAGCTTTTACAGTAGTAGAGAGTGAAAATAAGGATTGCTAGACATGTTTCTTGGAGCTTCTTATTGATGACCTTGGTGGAAGAGATGAGTGATTCGCATACACTTTTATTTCTGATCAACAAAAGGTATGTTTTATATGTTTACAATTATTATGTTATAATTATGTGTTTACAATTCTAATGTTATAATTATGTGTTTACAATTCTGATGACACAAGGACTATTACCTGTAATGGATGAGCTACTACCTAGAGTTGAACAAATATTTTGTGTGATGCGTCTTTATAACAACTTTAGGAAGATGTTTCTTGGTAAGATGTTGAAGGAAATCATATGGAAGGCTGCAGAATCAACATACTCACAAGCATGGGAAAGAGAAATGAAAGGAATGAAGGATGTCAATGTAGATGCATACAAACACATGATGAACACCCCACTAAGATTTTGTAATATATCATACTTTAAGATATCTAACAAGTGTGATGTTATTCTCAATAACATGTCAGAAGCTTTTACTAGTGTCATTCTAGAGTCTAGGGCCAAGCCGTTGATAACTATGGTGGAAGAAATTAGGACCTACATGATGGAAAGATGGGCTACCAATAGGACAAGGTTTCAAAACATGGTAGATGTTGAAGTGTTATCCAATATTAGAAGGAAAATTGAAAAAACAAGCACATATACAAACTTTTGGCTTGTCAAGTAATATTCACAAGTTTCTTACAAGTTTTATACAAGTTTCATACATGATTCATAACTTAACCAAAATTTTCTATTTTAGGATGTTTGATGAACACATCTTTGAAGTGAGGCACCTTGAAAACCAAGTAGATAAGTTTTCAGTAAATTTGAAGGAACACCTATGTTCATGTAGAAGATGGGAACTAACAGGTCTACCTTGTGTTCGTGCACTTTCAACTATGAAGAGTAGAAACCATATGGTTGATGACTACACCCCTGAGTATTACAGGAAATCAAGATATATGGAAGTCTACAAACATGTGATTTATCCTGTAATTGGCTCAAATTTGTGGGTTATAATAGAGTATCTTGATGTGCAATCACCTAAGTATAGGAAAATGCCTAGAAGGCCAAAAAAGAGGAGGAATCTAGAGCAAGGCGAGATTGATGCCTCTGATCGCAAAATGAGAAGAACTTGTTTCATTGTCAAGCGTAGTAGATGTAAGAAACCAGGTCACAACAAAATTACTTGTAAGGTGACACTAGCTAGTCAACAAGCACTTACTCAAGCATCCCAACAAGCACTTACTCAAGCATCCCACAAGTACCTACTCATGCATCCCAACAAGCATCACAACAAGCACCCCAACAAGTTACTCAAGCAGCTACTCAAGCATCCCAATAGTTAACTCATGGAAGGGAAAATAAGCAACCAATTAATAGGGCATCTCAAATAACCACTGAAACATCCCATCAGTTGACTCATGGAACGGAAAAGAAGCTGCCCGTTAGAAGGCCAACAACACCATTTGTACCACTAGGACCTACAACTAGATTGAGTGCATCCAAGACTGCAGTCGGGCTAACGACAAGAAGGACAACACCAACTAAGAGATTCGCACCAAAGAAGAAAATTTAGTTTAACTTATAATTGTTGTCTGTCATTTTTTCTGTTGAACTCAGTTTAATTTATATGTTAGTTTAAGTTTGAACATATGTTTTAGAAATGTAATGTGTTTTAAACCTATGCAGTTCCTTTTGAACCTATAAAGTGTGTTTTGTACCACATTAGTAATGCTGAATATTAGTGGTTTATACCATATTAGTAATGCATAATATTAGTGGTTTACTTCATATTTGTAATGCAGAATATTAGTGCCTTGTTTTATATGTTTTGGTATAAACCAACTGATACGCAATTGATGGTATACACAATTGTGCCTTGTAATGCAGAATATTAGTGCCTTATTTTATTTGTTCTGGCATAAACCAACTAATACATAATGGACTGATACACATTAATTGATACACAATTCATAAACCAACACATGTTGATTGCTACATAATGAATTGATACACAGTAATTAATACACACATTAAGTGATGTCAATTGCTAACATTAAGAGATGATGTTCTTACAAACAGATACAAACAAATTCAAAACATTATGCCATTCAAACTGATATAAATAGATTTAAACTAGTTCAATCTCATGCAGTTGTTACAACATTCTAAATACCACCACACCTAAAACACTACAAAACGTGTTCTTCCAAATTTTTTTCCCATTTCACCATCTTCTTAATTTGAATTTGTAATTCCCTCAATTGTAGATTCAGTCCCTCATTTGTAGCCCTGACATACTCTACCTCCATTTTTGCTGCATCAAGTTCGTTTTTTAGCTTATCCAACATACTCTTTTGCTTCTTCATAAATTGGTCTTTCTCAACTACCACATCCTCATAGAATCAATCAAAATATCCACAACCAGCATGTGTTGCACCCTGTGTAGTTGGCAAATGGTCTATATCAGAACAACCAACAAAAAAGAAAATATTCAAATTCGTTCTTACCTTATAATGACGACATCCATAAAATTGTTTCCCAAAGTTCGTAATAGTTGAGGCCCTGCGAAGAACAACCATTTCTCCACAGCGACATATGGATTTCCCTCGCAAATTGAAGCATGTGCATACATTGGAATCCAAACTACCAAATCTCTTCAAATTATATTCATTTGAACAACGTGTAAGAGCAAGATTTGTCTCTACAGGATTATCTCTATGTTTTGATGATAACAATTGAGTATTTGTGAAAGAACCATTTTATGGTTTAATGTTTGTTTTGTGCAGGTCATATTAAATTAAATATATTAGACCAAACAAACAAAAGCAACGTGTGCAGCTAGTAATATATGGAATTACTATGTGTAACGTCATGAAGCGCTTGGGAGAAGCTAGTTTGCTTATGTATCTGATCACCATCAGTAAGGAACCAAGGATGCTGTATATTGCAGTTGCAATGCTCCTGTGGTTTATGATCTGAAGAAGTGCATCTGATCTAAAAGCAAATGAAGCTCAGTAAAGAAGCAAGTTTGTTTCTGCATCTGATCATGTTCAATAAAGAATCAAGGATGCTGGATATTGCAGTTGCAATGCATCTGTGGATTCTGATCTGAGTTGTGCATCTGATCTGGAAGCTAACGAGCGTCTCTGAAGAGTGAGCCCTCTAAAGAACTGAAGTGCTGAAGAATCTGATGACTTGAAGTTCTGAAGGCTGAAGGCTCTGAAGACCAAGTGCGTCAAGACTCTGAAGACATGTTCTGAAGGACAAAACTCTGAAGACTCTGAAGACATGTTCTGAAGGTCAAGACTCTGAAGATTCTGAAGACATGTTCTGAAGGTCAAGACTCTGAAGATATAATCATCTGAAGAAGTTTGTGCTGAAGACTCTGATGACTTGAAGTTCTGAAGGCTGAAGGCTCTGAAGACCAAGTGCAAAAGACTCTGAAGACCAGACTCTGAAGAAGAAAGATTATGAAGCTTCACCAGACAAGACGTGTTCAATCAGATGAGGTGTTGCTATCAACTCTGATGAACAAAGTGCTGAAGTCAGAATCTGATGTTTACTATGCTATCTATACCAAAGTAGTTTCTGAACTACTCATCTGTAACATCATCAGAAGAACCAAGCCAGAAGCATATTTGTCCAAGCTGTTAAATGAAATATTACCGTTGCAAGAAAAGGACAAGAAAGTGATGTCATCCAACACGTGCTTATCTATCCGTTGAAATATGACCGTTGGAAATAGAAAGGACTTTTCTATCCTCACAACGTCATTCTTGGAAGCACTATAAAGGCAGAATCATTTGATTATTCAAATGTTGCTTGGTGAGCTGAAGTGGTTACTAAGTGGCTGGAGCTGTTGCTCTGTTGCTACTGTTGCAAAGAGAAGAAAAGCTTAAATGAAAAGAAGCCTTAGTGCTCACACACAGAAAAGCTTTTAAGCAATATGGAAACTACTGTTCTTATAATCTCTTAGAGATTTATTATTAGATTAGTTTCTATATTAGAAAGCAAGGAGTTGTTGCTCAATACTTGCTAGGAACTTAATTAGGAGTAATCTGCTTATTTGAGAAGCACTTATGTAATCTCCGGCAACACAAGTTCTATTTTAGAATTAGTGGTTCCTCAAGTGATCTTGTGAAGATCAGTATACTTGAGATGACAAGTGACGGTAGTCATTTGTGGAAATCCTAATAGGAGATCTTTAGTGATCGGATTCTATTAAGGTGTCAATGAACGTTATATCCTTAGGGATCCCTGAACGTGTCATTGTCAAGTTGTTAGTCACTTGCAGTTAGCTTGTGCATCTGTAATCAGTTCGGTTATAGTGGATTAAGTCCTTATTTGATTAAGGCGAAATCACCTTGGAAGGGTGGACTGGATTAGCTTGAGAGTTGCTCAAGTGAACCAGGATATATGTTGTGTTCTTTACTTTCAGTATGCTTTGTTATTTATGCTTCCGCAATATATTTAATATAAGCGCATAAAAGCATCAAGTTAAGAAGAAGACAAGAAATTAAAAAGGTTTATAAGAAGGCATAAACCCAATTCAATCCCCCCTTTCTTGTGTTTATTTCACACCTTCAATTGGTATCAGAGCCTGGTTCTGTTATTGATGGATATCAAACACCTAACAGTGTCAGATAAAGATCCATAGGCTGTGTGAAGAAATACTTTTGGGGATATTTCACTGTTCTTACAATTTCAGTCTCATATCAGTTTTTGAGGATAATGAGTACTAAAATTGTAATCTATTGAGTTACCTTGAGCAAGTCACTGATTCTATGAAGTTTGAAATTTGAAGTGTTGAAGCCTTCAACAGCAAATCTCCTCCAGAAGATTCTGAAAGAAGAATGAAGAATCAGCTGACAGGATAGATTCATCAGATAAGAAGATATATCTGTTGAATGCTGATCTGAAAATACGTTTGGATTTACAACATATTTGCTCAAAGATAAATCTTCTGCAAGCAATAATTCTTGATCTCTAAAGATTAATTCTGGTGAGTATGAGATGTTTTCAAGAAACGGATTAGTCCACACTTGACTTTCTCATGACAACTCATTGGGATTTATCTTAAGTAAGAAAAGATATATTGTTGGCTAATGAATCCTATTCATCAGAACGCCAGAATGAAGTCTGCAGAAAAGGGTAAGTTTAGAAAAATATTCAAATCTGGAAGAAATGATTCTTCAGATCCAAAACATTTGAAAGTTGCTCTCCTTGAAGAGCTTCAAAGAATTCTGCAGAGGTTTCTAGAAAGGCAGTGTTTCTAACTCATCTGGATTATGATGATATGATGAATTCAGAAGATCTCATTAGAAGTAGCATGGACAATTAAGTTCTATTAACTCGAGATGTTGAACAAACTGAAATTGGTCAGATGCTATCAGACATTATTTTTCAGAAATTCATAATGAATGTTTTGAGAAATAAAGATATGAGGAAAGATACAATGACAGTAGTCATTCTGTCAAATGTAAAAAGGATTTAAGTTTCTGGGGTTATTCAATTTGAATAAGTCAGTAAACATTCTTTTTCAAGAGCAGATGTTATGTCAACTCTGATAATCTAACTCCTTACATGTTAGCTCAGCATTGTAAGAGCAAAATTGTCAGTCAGACTGTGTCTTTTGATGCATCTAAGTTTGATGATAACTGTATCTAGATTGGATCTGTATTTGTTTCAAGCAGAAAAATTCAGAAGATGAAGCCTGATGGAAGCTAGATTCTCTCTACACATGAAGATCAGATTATCTGTGCTCTGAGGATGTCTCTCAAGAATCAGATGGATGTTGTTGTGTTGATGAAGATGCTGCAGAACTCTAACAAAGGAATTGAGATCTGTTCAAGAAGAGTTATTCAGAATATTCTACTTTAGTTGCTGTTACTGGTTTGTCACACAAGATGTTGGAGAATCAGAAGCAGAATGTGTTCCAGCTGAAGAATCAGAAGCTACTCCAGATGCTATTCAATTAGCTGCTTCTGAAGAATCAACTCTGAGAAGTTTCCCCCCAGAATCAAATCTTCTTTTCCAGAAGAGACGTTCATTGGAAAGAAGGATGATTCCAGAAGAACAAGATTCTTTCTTCTCAAAGATTGTCAGCAAGAAACTCTTGACTATACAGAAGACATATGCTTTTGTGACAAGGTTAGAATTCATATTCTTTTCAATCTCGTTCGTTGATCAGTATAACATCAATATAAATCAGATGAATATTAAAAATACTTTTAAATGGTTTTATTGAAGAAGAAGTATATGTTCATCAACTTCCCAGTTTTCTTTTTGAAAATTATTTTGTCAAAAGTAAAGTTGTTACTACTCTTCTTCTTAAAGACTATTA